TTTGGTTTCGTTTTCTACTGAAGTAACAAAAAAAAAAAAAAAAAAAACAGGGTTTAAGCTGCTGAATGAAACAAGGCCCTGGTGTCAAATTTTCATTTCTTCCAAACCACATTTTACTGCTGTTGAAATACATTTCCTCACATCACASATTTTCATGGTTATTTTTTATTTAAAAACATAAAGAAACAGGACTACTGAAACAACATGAAAGAGCAGGGATRTTCACACTTTAACATTAGCCCTTTCAGCATCAACTCAGACTGGGACAAAAAAAAAAAACAGATCACACTTTAACAGCAGCACTTCACCCTCAAACACATAACTGTACACACTGTWGGTCTAAAACAATATTCTTACAGCTCAGATGGCAGTATATTAAACATCTCAAATCTGTGTTTTAAACATTTACGTTGGAACAAAACAGAAGCCAGAGTGTTTAAAACAGCTACTGTAGTTAGCATTTCTGAGCGCTAGAGGAGAAATCTACAGTAAAAAAAATAAAATTAGTCATCTTATCATTACTCTCACTGCAGATCCATTTGTGTCATTCAATACAAATTACTATTCAGGATATTATGGCTGAAAATATTTCAATTATAGAATATCTGAACGGACCACAGAAGTTCAGTCAACACCACTTTAAACCCATTAAAAGAACTCAGAAATGTTTCCAACTTAAATAAAAATAGAACTTTATTGGCACTACTTCAATTAGGTCTGGTCCTGCTCAAAACCAATTAAAGTGCAGTTTATYAACAACTATGGTGTTCTAACCTGTTACAGGAAACAACCATGATTTTTAAATGTTAATGGGAACAATCCAAAAACAAAGACGGAGCTAGAAAAAAGAAAAAAAAAAACTTGATCGCTCATTTGTTTTATGCTCCAAATTGCTTTAATCAAAACAGGTTTTAAAACGTTTCAGTGATGGTTTAGCTTCTGTCTGCTGCGTGACAGTTATCACATGTGTAAAATAACACGTTACTACTGTGTAAATCAAGAACCTTACAAGTTATAACACTCTAAAAAATAAATAAGCCAAAACAAAGGTCAAATAAAATCACAAAGCAGGTTTCATCTACAGACTGGAGTGGGTGAACTATGACTACACTGCTTCTAATGTTAGCCATTAGCAAAACATACATTTTATTCCAAAAATAATGGAATAAATTCTGCTCTGATGTCAAAATGCTTTATTGTGCCATTAATTTAAATCAGATTGTGACATTTAAAATGATGCTGAACACAATCYGATGTAGATGATGCAGTCTGAATGAGTTGTGATGTCATTTTTTGCAGATTAAAGGTTGATTTCCTGATTTGGTGACCTAGCAAAAACTGTTTCTCTGTAATACAAACCAAAGCAGAGCTGGAAACACGTTAGGATGCATGGATGAGCCTTGGGTTTAACGGTAATGTTCAGCTGAATAACAGTCTGGTCTTGACGATAATGAACTCCTTCAGTAGCTCTGCAGCAGGTGGGCGTGCATGTTTTCTATGCAGAGCCCTGTTCCAGCTGCTCGTCCTGAAACGGGTAGCTGAGTGCCGGAGGAAAGCCCTGACTCCGAGGCTGTTCATCCAGYAGCATCAGATCCTCCACATCCTTCCCTTTGTACCGCCGTCTGCAAATCTTTACCATCACTTTACGCCCCTGAAAGACCTTCAGGGCTTCTTTGGAGGCCATGGCTCTGGCGGCGGGCTCGTCCCGCCCGTACCCCGTGCCCATGTAGACCGTCTGGCAGCGGATTTCACACACGTGGCCTTCCTTCTGTGCTCGGCTTGCMGGGAGGCCGGTGATGTCCTTCAGTGGTACGAACACACACGTCAGGGTCTGTTTACACGACTCCACGCAGCTTCGCAGGATTTCAAAGTGGTCCAAGTTGGGGCCGAAGCCCCCGGCCGACACCAGCTTCCAGGCCACRGCCTTGTAGAGGCGGTTGAAGAAGGGCTGGTGCTCTGCTGGCGCCTGCGGGAGGGGTCCACATTTCTGGCTTCCGGGCCGTGTGGCAGCCCTCCCAGCAGGTCGACTGTCCGGCTCATTAGGAGCATTTTTGGGTCTTTTTACGCAGCTTTCAGTGTCCTCATCTGCAAAAGACAACACAGYAGGAAAGACGTGGTTTACTGCACARGAGACAACATGTWATAGAAGAAACACAGAGCCAAGCTTCTGGTGTGGGTGTAGAAACAAGTAATTACTGTGAAACCCTGCTGGAATATTTTACTGGACTTCAACAAGCTGCAGGAACTGTGAGGTGTACAAAATATTTTTTCACCATCAATCCTGTTTACATCTTGCAGTCAGATCCTTTGTTTTTATAATGAAACTTAAGCCCTGGTATAAACCAAGGACCGGTCTGAGGTGTACACCCCACCTCTCACACGACTGCTGGAGAAAGACAAGCTCCCTGTGACCCAAAGAAGGAAAAGCAGGAAAACTAATGGATAAAATGTTTAGTTTAATGTTGTGATGAAGTTTAATGTTGCAGCAATATAATAACTCRTCCATCCTTCCATTTTCTTTACTGGTTTTCACTGCAGAGTGTCTATCTACCAGCAGTCACAGTGTGAGGGGAGGGGTACACCCTGGACAGGTCCCAAGTCCATCAAAGGGCTACAGAGAAAAACAACCATTCACAATTTAGAGTTACCAATTTACCTCATGCATGGTTTTCTTCTGAGGGAGGAAACTTTAGTACCTGAAGAAAACCCATGCATGCATGGAGAGAACCTGCAAACTACATAAGAAAACCCCAGACTGGARGTGAACCTGCAACAACTCTAACCCCTAATTTACACTAGATGCGGTTCCGCTCCACTCCGGTGAGAAGCACAGAGGAAGTCCGAGCAGCGTGTGCAGGAAATGCGAGATTGTGTGATAAATGTGTAAGTCAGAGCAAAATAATTAATTTTGTGGAAGACGGACTCTAACTGCGAAACTTTGACAGCATTTGTGTAGAAATATATCCGTACATTTATTAATATAGCTGGGATTTTGACAAAAAACTCTGCCTTTGGTGAATTGTTTAGAAAATACGGATGCTGAGCAGCTCCAGCGTCTGGCAGAAATAGGATTGAATCTAATTTTGACGGATCGCCATCTGCTGATCGCTGCCGTGTAGAGCCAGTGTAAATACTCTCATTAGCTGCGTTTCCATTGACCATGAAAATGCGCAAATTAGAATTTCAAAAATAAATTTGCAATGGAAACACAGCTAGTGATTATAATGGTTGTGTTTTTTCTGCAGAGGTCAGACCGCAGAGCAGAACCGCATCCAGTGTAAATTAGGGGTCACAACTGCTCCACCGTACTGCACAGTTTAACTTAGTGTTTTTAGGGTATGCAGTGTCATGTTGGAGGGACATGTGACTACTAATAATTGTTTTATCACAAACACCATATCCRTAGTTAGATAGCCATTTACTTTTTCTTAAATGGGTCAAACTTAACTTGCTCRTTTGTTCTGATGGTTCTGTTCAGGGCGGCTGTGGCTGAGTAGTTACAGAGAGTGAAAGAAATTTGTAACTTACAAACTGAACTTAAGCTACAGAATTATATGTATAAAAATAATTATACATTAAACAGTAGGTATTTCCCGATCCAATATGAATATCAATTCGACATCAGCCAAAAAACGAGTATCAGATTATATCAGCCTGAATCTAAACTCTCTGATATAAGCAGTCCATTCCAGATATCTGCTCAGGATTAATAACTTCAGAGACCTTGAATTGTTATTTTATATTTTAAAAGGTGTACTTTGTTTTTATTGGACTTTTTAAAGATAATTTTCATGGTCTTCTWTTTTATTTATTTTATTTCAATGTAGAATGTTCTTAAGTTTAAGTAAAATATATGTAACCCATTGGTTAATAATATATGCCAGCTTTTCTCATACATACTGGTGTTGATTATTGTTTATTGTTCGCCTCTGGCAAGACTTAACGCTCTACACTACAAAGTAAGTAATAACCGTWGGTAGAATTCATTCTGATACGATGTTGGGTCGATATCTATTGGTATCGGAAGAGGAAAAGTTAGATTGGGACGCACCTATGAAAAAGTGTGTTTTATGACCGGTCTCAATTTGTTGAGACAAACAACCATTCACTCTGTCTCACACATAGGTTAACTGGTAACTCTAAATTGTCGGTAACTCTAAATTGTCCCTAACAGTCATACATTTGGTCTGTGGAAGGAAACCAGAATACCCAGAGAAAACCCACGCATGCAAGGAGAGAAAATGCAARCTATATCCAGAACGGCCCCCGGCTGGGATTTGATTCAGCCAGTTTTCCTACTCTTGCTTTCGAGGGAGGTGCATCATGAAAAGTTTGAGAACCACTGGTAGAACTAAACACTGAATATATTTATATCCCAATATATTTAAAAAAAAAACTGATTTGCAAAAATATTAGTCTGAGCATAAACTCTAACAGTAATGTACAAATACTGTAAATATACACTGCATTACCAGCTGCGCAGCTCCTCTTTCCTTTGGCTGCACCATCTTCTTTTGTCATTTTGTGAACAGGAGCATCCTGGACGTTTATCCCCTCGCCCATCTCCTTGATCTTATCCATTACAGCCTGTGGATAACTAAAACATGAAAAAGAGGGGGAGAAMAGCAACTATTTATCTGAGCATTTCTGTTGTTTCTGCTCAAAAATGGTGAAATAAGTACTCTTTTGCTTATTTAAGTTTATGAATGTAGCTGAATTCTTAAAATAAAAAAATAAAAAAATAAAT